ATGCCCCACCACAGCTATCCGCCTCCTCCCACTAAAACTGTCTATTTTATTTTTTGTGATTTTTTTTTTTTTTAATGTCTGGGATGGCATTGTAAGTATTTTAGTAGCAAACATTTATGTTGACACAATAGTGCTCAATCCATTCACCAGGCTGTGCCACCCCCAGCACTGAATAGCTGAAGATGGAGCCCCCTTAGAGCACAGGGGACCTGTGGGGCCCCTGTGCATGGAGCAGAGATGACTGCCTAAAGGGTGGTGAGGATTTCAGGGCATTTTATCCCCTACTTGTGTAAGAAAGGGACTCAGCAAAGGACTTCCTGAGACAGTGACCTCACTTCCTTGGCCATGGAACGTTAACTAGGTTAGATGTCATGTGACACTACAAACCCTGTTCATATAAGACAGCAAACTTAATATGTGTCTTCTTATTGCTCCACAGATCATGACTCACCTTCTTCTCATTCCCTAAGAAACAATATTGAAGTTAGACCAGTTAATTACTCTGTAATGGACTGAACAGTTGGAATAAAAGGAAGAGTTCCATGTTTTGCATTCCAAATAGAAAGCTGTGCCTTGGCTGGGCTGTAGCTCAGTGGCAGAGTGCTTGCCTAGAATGTATGAGGCACTGAGTTCAATCCTTAGCACTACAAAAAAAAAAAAAAAAAAAAAAAAAAAAAAAAAAAAAAAAAAACAACTAAACAAAGAAAGGCATGCTGTTGATCTAAAACTATTTAAAAGAGAAAGAAAGAAAGAAAGAAAGAAAGAAAGAAAGAAAGAAAGAAAGAAAGAAAGAAAGAAAAGAAAGAAAGAAAAGAAAAAAAAGCTGTGCCTCTTGAATAGTTAGTCCCAATGAGAATGCAAGGGAAATGTTCATAAAGAAAATTAAAGTGCTGCTCCAGGGCATATGTGAATGATAAGAAAGCAAAACAGCTGATAGGGATAAAGTTTTCATAGTCTGGAGAACAGATGAAACAAACCACATTCCCTTAAGCCAAAACCGCATCCAGATAAGGCCAAAACATTAGATTTTTCTGATGCCAAGAGAAGGGAGAAAGCTCCAGAAGAAGTCTGAAGGTGGCAGAATTTGGTTCATGATGTTCGAGGCAAGCGGCCCATCTCCATATAAGACAAGTGCAGGGTGAAGCAGCAAGTGCTGATGTAGAAGCTACAGCAAGTCATGAAGAAGATCTTGCTAAGCTATCTGATGAAGACGCGATATGGTTGAGTTTCTCGGTGTCCCCAAAAAGCTCATGGGTGAGACAATGCAAGAAGGTTCAGAGGGGAAATGATCCTGTTATGAGAGCCTAAAGCCAATTAGTGAATTAATCCCCTGGCAGGATGAACAGGTGGCACAGATAAAATGGGGTGCCCACACCCTCCCCAAGCCTGGAGGTGTAGGCGCCACCTATGGAGGAGTCCAGTTGAGGGTGGAAGCGAACAGCAGTCATCCTCAACGTTCCACATTAGGGTTCCACATTGGAGGTTCCCAGCAACCAGCGGCATCCCTCTGCGGGCAGGGCATTCATCAGCGAGCCTAGGCGCCCTAAGGCCCTTTGGGGAGTCCAGTTGAATCGGTGGCTGCATGGAAATAGGCGTCCAAATAGGAGCATCCTCATCCATTGGCGGTGGCGGGAGTCTGCTTCCAGTGCAGTGGAGGTGTTGGCAGCATTGCTGGTGGCCAGGTCGGGACTCCAGTGGCCACAGTGTGGAGCGCTGGCTGTGGCGACAGCGACAGCGTAGGACAGCGGGCCTCAGAGTCAGAGGGCGACCAGAGGATGGGGTGCCCTGTGCTGTGGCTTCCCCAGGCCACTTGTCTTGCTCCTGGCAGGGCCTGCCTGCTCAGGAAGCAGGACACGGCAGGCGGCGGTACCCACACAGCCTCTGAGGACCTTATGCTGCGCACGCAGGTGGCGCCTGGCACCGGCCCTGAGCCCCCCGGGTGGCAGCTCGCCCCACCCCGGGTTCACCCTGCCCCTCCCTGGGTTGCGGCCTCTGGGGGGGGAGTAGGCCCGCTGCCAGCCGGGGCAGCCTTTGGAGAGGACACCCACCCTCCCCAGCGACATCTCTCCTGGGCTGTGGCCACTGAGAGCAGAGGCAGTGGGGGGTGGGGCTACAAATCTTCCCCCTCAAAGCGCATCCCTGGAGCGGGACAAGAGTGGAGGGCATAGATGGCAGAGGGAACCCCAAGACGTGCCGTCCTTGGTCTTGGTCTTCTGCCACCCTTAGACAAGGAAATGTACTTTAAAAAAAATAATTAGCTCTAATTAGTTGTACATAACAGCAGAATTCACTTTGGTTCATTGTACAGAAATGGAGCACAGCTTTTCATTTCTCTGGTAGAACACGATGTAGAGTTGCACCATATGTGCAGTCCTGCATGTACCTAGGGTAATGATATCCCTCTCATTCCACCCTCTTTCCTACCCCATGCCAGTCCCTCCTATCCTTCCCCTTTGCCCCAAGTTCCTCCATTCTTCCCTTGCCCCCCTCATTATGGATCAGCATCCACTTATCAGGGAGAACATTCAGCCTGTTGTTTTTGAGGATTAGCTTTTTTCACTTACATAATATTCTCCAACTCCATCCACTTACCTGCAAGTGTCATAATTTTATTCTCTTTTAAAGCTAAGATTCCATTGTGCACATATACCACATTTTCTTTATCAGTTTAGCTCTTGAAGGACTTCTAGGTTGGTTCCACAGTTTACCTACTGTGACTTGAGCTGCTATAAACATTGATGTGGCTGCATCACTCTAGTATGCTGATTTTAAGTCTTTTGGGTATAGATTGAGGAGTGGAATTTCTGGGTCAAATGGAGGTTCCATTCCATGTTTTTTGAGGAAGCTCCATACTGCTTTCCAGAGTGGTTGTACCAATTTGCAATGCCACTAGCAATGTATGAGTATACCTTTCCCCCCCACATCCTCACCAACACTTATTGTTGCTTGTATTCTTGTTAACTGCCATTCTGGCTGGAGTAAGATGGTCTTAGAGTAGTTTTGATTTGCATTTCTCTAATTTCTGGTGAAGTTGAACATATTTTCATATATTTGTTGATCGACTGTGTATCTTCTTCTGTGAAGTGTCTGTCCATTTCCTTAGCCCATTTATTGATTGGGTTATTTATTCTTTGGGTGTTGAAGTTTTTGAGTTTTTTATATATCCTGGAAATTAGTGTTTTATCTAATGTGCGTGTAGTAAAGATGTTCTCCCACTCTGTGAGCTCTCTCTTCATATTATTGTTTCCTTTGCTGAGCAGAAGCTTTTAAGTTTGAATCCATCCCATTATTAATTCTTGATTTTATTTCTTAAGTACAGGGTCTCTGGTCTAATTCCTAGGTCCTTGATCTACTTTGAGTTTTGTGCAAGGTGAGAGATCGTGGTTTAATTTCAGTCTGCTACATATGGATTTACAGTTTCCCCAGCACCATTGTTGAAGAGGCTATCGTTTAGCTAATGTATGTTTTCGGCACCTTTGGCAAGAATGAGATAACTACATTTATGTGGGTTTTTCTCTGTATCTTCTATTTTGGACCATTGGTCTACATGTGTATTTTGGTGCCAATAGCATGCCGCTTTTGTTACTACAGATCTGTAGTATAGTTTAAGGTTTGATATTGTGATGTCTCCTACTTCACTCTTCTTGCTAAGGATTGCTTTGTCAATAAGGATTTCTCTGTGTCTACTTTTCCAAATGAATTTCATGATTACTTTTTCTATTTCTATGAGGAATGTTATTGGGATTTTAATTGGAATCACATTAAATCTGTATAAGGTTTTTGATAGTGTGGCCATTTTGACAATATTAATTCCATGAGGGAGGAATTGGAATCAGGTACCTGCTCAAAAGGGGACGGATCCGATAGCCACGCCCACCTCAAAATGGCAAGGAATGCTTTCCAAGATGTAGTCGGTGTGCTTCCAGAGCCAGGGTGTCTGGTGATGTCAGGGGAACCAATGGCCTTGTGCTGTGGGGAGGTAGCAGCTGAGTGACCTGCGTGGGAGTGGAGCGGAGTCTCGGCGGTCTGCAGATGTGTTGGTAGGTGGTTCTGCTAAGGCGCTGGCCGAGTCTTAAGTGAACTGCAACTTTGGCTTTGGGTCCTGCTCGGACACTGAGGCCCGGAGTCCTGCGCAAGGTCACAGCGCTGGTCATTTCTGTAGAGAGAAGCTGTACAGGGGCCTCTAACACTCTCAAGAGATGCAGAATTCCTACTAGGAGAGAAATCTGGGTCACAGAGCAACACAGATGCTGCTTCCCTCTGGTCCGCCATCTTGAAAGTCTTTTCAATTTCTTTCTTTAGTTTTCATTGTATAGGTCTTTCATCTCTTTTGTTAAATTTATACCCAAATATTTCATTTTTGAGGCTATTGTGAATGGGATAGTTTTCCTAATTTCTCTTTCAGAGGGTTCATCACTAATAGATAGAAATGCATTAGATTTATGGATATTGATTTCATATCCTGTGACATTGCTGAATTTGTTAATATTAGAAGTTTTCTGGTGGAGTTTTTTTGGATCCTCTATGTGTAGAATCATGTCATCAGCAAATAGGGATAGTTTGAGTTCTTCTTCCCCTATTCCTATCTGCTGCAGTCTGGCTGGGCACAATCAGGAGCCACTTGTCAAAAGAAACTAACTTTATTTTTAGAACCACACACGCCAAACAAAACAGCCTCTCAGGAAAAACCCTCAGAGCCTCAACTGCCACCACCGGCTTTCCACAAGCCTCTCTCTCCCACACAAGCTTCTCTCCACCTCCCACAATCCTCCTGCTCTTGAGGCCGATTGGCTGGGTCACGTGGGCGGAGCCAAAAAAGTCCCCCAATGAGCAGCTCCGTGGTCTGAAAGGGCAGGGAAACAGCCCAATGAGCATCACCGCAGAGGAGCCAATCAGCTAGATGTTGCTGGGGCCGCTGTGAGCCAATCATCAGCCAGCAGCTGGAAGTTTGCTAGCAGCTGGAAGTTTGCTGGGGCCCCTTTGGCTGTGGCTCTCAACACCTATCCCTTTAATTTCTTTCATCTACAGCTCTGTCGTGTAGTCTAAGCTGTAGTGGAGTTTAAACAGCAGTATAGTTTAAACTCTGGCTAGAGTATCAGGGACTATGTAGAGTAGAAGGTGAGAGAGGGCATCCTTGTCCTGTTCCAGTTCTGAGAGGAAATGCTTCCCATCAGAAATGCACTTTGAGGATGAAGAGGTCCTAGTTCCTCTGCTCTCTCCCCCCACAGCCCAGGTGGGATGTCTCTTAGGAAGGTGGGGGTCCTCTCCCAAGGCTGCCCCACCTGGCAGATGGCCCAGTTCCCCTGCAGAGGCCACATCGGGGATGGGGCGAGCAGCCACCCGGCGGGCTCATGGCCAGTGCCAGGCGAGGCAGGTGTGGGCAGCCTAAGGTCCTCAGTAGCTGCCTGGGTATTGCCACCCCCCTCGTGCTGCTTCCTGAACAGGCCGCTCAGCCAGGACCAAGACCCAGGGCCTGGAACAGCCACTGCAGAGGCCATTCCAGCCTCTCGTCGCCCTTCCACTCTGAGGCTCACTGCCCTGCGCCCTCGCTGCCGCCGCCAGCCTGGAGCTCTTCACTGTAGCCATCGGACTCCCCACACGGTCGCCAGATGCCACTGCAGCAGGATTCCTGTTACCCCAGCAGGATGAAGATGCTCACCACTGGACGCCTCTGTGTCCTCAGCCCCGTTTCCAGACTCTACTGGTGCTGCCGCCACCGTGCAGCAACCAAACTCCCAAACCCCAGCTGGACTATGATGCTGCCCACCAAGGGCCCAACGTCAATGCCCTTCACCCCCCGCCATGATGCCTGACTCCAATGCCCCATGCCGGCTCCCGGATGAAGCTGCATGTTGTTGCTGCCACCACCAGACTCCATCATGGACGCATGACAGCGATACTCAGCACTGGATGCCCACTTCACCCACTGCAGCCAGACTCCTGTGGCACTGCAGGACAGAAATGATCATGGCAACATCCCTCTGTTGTCACCACAGCAGCTTCTGGACTCTTCTGCTGCCACCACCACTGTGAGTATGCAGCAAGGGATCTCCCAAACAGCAGCTGGATGCCAACACCTCAGCTGTTGCCACCCCCACGCCAACTCTCAACTCCGGACCTCCTTCGCCTGATGCCCTACGCCTGAAGCAGCTACATGTTGCTGCTGCTGCCACCAGATGCTACCACTCCATGAGGCCTCTTCAGTGATTCCATCCCAAAGATGCTGCTGTGCTGCCCAAGACCACAGAAGCTGGGAAGTTGGGCAGTCTCCATCCCAGTCGCCTCATCAGTGCCCACCGCTTGCCGCCTGCCTTTCCTCCCCCAGGACCACCCACCAGTCCTTCTGGGCCTTTGAACAGGAGTTGTGCTGACTCAGGGAACTCATCCAAGGAAAACAAGTGAGTACTTTAAACAAAGGTTGCAGTCCTCACAGCAGGCAGTGGGCGGGGCTAGGTGGGTCCAGCCTGCTGGTGAGGGGGCAGAGGTGGAGCTACTGGCCTCCTCTGGACCTTGACCCTGTGGGGCAAGCTGGAGAGGGATCTCTGGCTGCTCTGGGAGCCCAGCCTGGAAGCAGCTTCCTAACTCACCCTCACACTCCTCTCTGAAGGGGACTCTGGTTTCCAGAGAAAGCCATCTGGGCTCTTGGGCTCTGGGCAGTGGTATGAGCCAGACTGGACAGACTCCACCCACCTGGGCTTGGGGAAAAGCCCCCTCTTGGGAAAATACCCTCCTAGAACTACCAAACTTAGTCTGACATTGGCTTCTTTCATGAGATTATCAAGAAAGGAAAAATATGTTACCTAGTTTTGTCTTGCAAAGGGTAGTGTGGGGAGAGGCAAAGGCATCAGAGTTGGTAGAGCTGAATTCACATCCCTTTTAACTGGGTGACCTTGTCCAGGGTCCAGAACTAGGTACAACCTTGGTTTTGCATCTGGTAAAACAAAGATGGTGAGGATGATAAGCTATCACCATCTGTCATAGCTGGAGACCTCATGCGTGGTTCATAAATCTGACTATTCCAATAACTTAAGAAAATGACAAAGAAGGCACACAACCACACAGAAGTACCTTTTCAATAATCCGGGCGTGGCTCTGTGAACGTAAGGGCCCATGGAAAGACATAGAGCCACTGGAATTCTTTATTTTTACATAGGAGACACACAAGGGGAGTTTCCATAGAACATTTTATCCCAAAAAGGGCAAAGGGGTCGGAATACAAGGGAACAGATGAGTGTAACTCAACCCCAGTGGGTGATGCCTACACCTGGAGCCATGCCTTGTTATCTGAGCTGGGGTGACGCCCACATTACTGCAACCTGGCACTGCCCTGCCAGACTGAATGCAGTAATTGTTCAGAACCCGGTGCATCAGGGCTTAAAGGCGTCTGCATCCAAGGCAGCTCCCGACAATAAGCCATGGGCAAATCAAGTTGTTCTGCACTACCTCACCTTGGGAGCCAGGTAGGCATTCAGCAATATTTCCATGCAGAAATATATTCTCAGACTAAAGGTGACACACCTAGAAGTGCACCTTTGGATGACAACTGACCTGTGAGGTAGGGAGTTGAAATTTACATCATGTTTTTAGAGGAAATAATAATATATGGAAGGTCATAAACCAAAGCATGAAATGTTGGGTCAGGCTCATGGAATTAAAAGCTGTTTTCAAATTTGTTTAAAGTTACATTGAGATAAATCTATGTAGTTCAAACCTTCCAGGATATCCCCCACCTCTGCCGCACACACAGGGAGCAGTGTCCACAACTTTTTTACTCCTCTTTACAGTATCACCAAATGTATGTGTGTGTGTATACACACACACACACACACATACACATATATATACTCGCACACATATACATGATGTATTATGTAATAATTTGTTCTTTTTGGTTTGTTTTTAGACTGTCTGTAATAGAATCTCATGTACATTCTTTTGCTCCCCTTCAGCTGACCATCAGGAAGAAGGAAACACCAGAGAAGCTTGAGGATCAGAAGGACACTAGCCCTGCTCTGGTCACCCTGGAAGCTGGCTAGCCTGCACACACCAAAGCTTGAGGAAACAGCAGCCCTGCTTCAGCCACTTGAGGGCTGGCTGATCAATGCAAGGAGGAAACTAAACTAAGCAACAGGACAAATGGACTGTTTCGTCCTGTAAGAGGGCTCCCACACTGTGGTGCATTGCCACCCCTTACTTCTGTCATATGCACAGTCCTCTCCTTGGTCTTTACTACAGGACTGACAACCACCAAACACACAGCTAACCCATAATGGGGGGCGGGGCAAGGGAAGATGGGAGGGACTTTGGATTGGGCAGAGGGGAGTGTGGGAGGGGAGGGGATATGGGAGTGGGAAGGATGGTGGAATGAGGTGGATTGTATTAATCTATGTACATGTATGATTGCAGGAATGGGGTGACTGTGCACTGTGTCTAACCAGAGAAATGAAAAGTTGCCTCCATTTGTGTTTAATAGTCAAAATGCATTCTGCTGTTATATATAACTAATTGAAAAAAATTCATAAAGGTCTAAGGCTTAAAAGGAAGTTTAGACACTTTAATGGTCATATAAATATGTATACTTTTCTTATATAAAATTTAAACTTATTAATTAAATTGAAAAAAAAAAAACAACTAGCACATGTACTAGTTCAAACCTGAAAGGGCATTAAGGCTTGGGAACCAAGCTCACTCTTTGGAGGATGGTTTTTCTATTCTTGGTGGATTCAAAAGTTTAATTGACATAGTATGGATTATGCTATTGTTTATTGCTTTCATATTTGTCTCCCCTTTACAATGAAACTATTGGGTCAACTATAGAAGCAGCTGTTAGAGAGAGGGGGGGGGCAGGAGGAGGGAAACATGGAGGGAGAAATTAAGATTATGGCATTATATAAAATTTTAAGCCTTGAAGATGATGTTTTTTGATTTAAAGGGTTAAATAATGAGCATAGAGGCGGTAACGATGTATCACAAATACTCCAAATAGTCCAAATGATGTAGTGTCCAAAAGATCCCCACCTTAATTGTAATATATAAGCCTTTCTCCTAGTAAACAAGATTTTTTTTTTGAAGTCAACAGGATTTCTAGAGAGCTCATTGTAGTTTAGCTCCTCTTTATTGTAAAGGTCAGGTTTCTCTTTCTTGTAAAAGTTAGGTCTGCAGGGCTGGGGTTGTGGCTCAGTGTTAGAACACTTACCTAGCAGGTGTGAGGCACTGAGTTTGATTCTTACACCACATAAAAATAAAATAAGGTATTGTGCCCATCTACAACTTAAAAAAAAGTTATGTCAGCAATCAAACTTGTTGATGTACAAAAGTTACTCTTTCTCTTTTCTTAGTAAAATCTTGTGAAACCTCTGTCCAATCTAAGAACATGGAAGAAAAAGTAACTATTATGTTAGCCATTGTGTTGTGTAACCATTCACTGAGTAGAAATCCCAGAGAACTTCCATACCTGGGGTCCAGGGATTTTTTGGCATTAGCCCCTCTGGATTACACCAGCTTAAATAAACCTTGTTCCTGCACATTTCTCAAGTGTCCAGCCTCCTCTGTCCTACATCAATACCTGCTTGAAATGCTAGAATGTCCCCATTCTTGAAGGACACTCAGAGACAGTCTCTCTGGCTCTGCCACAGTATGAATTCTATCCAAAGATATTAATCACAAAAAACTAAAGGGAGATTACACTATAGTGACCTCCTGGGGGGAGATTCAGTGTTGCATGATGAAACTTGTATACATATATTGAATTGCTATGATATACCCTGTAAAGTATAGAAATGATACATCTGAATAAACATGTTTTGTGAGAAATTGAATGTCATGTTTGCATTTGGGGTTGTTTCTAATATTATGCTGTAATAATATTTAATGATGTGATTACATTTTTTTAAATCTGAAAATAAATCAGAATTTTGTACAGTAACATTGTTAGTAAAGGGGATATTTTGGTGATTAGAATTTTTGCTTTCCTGTTAAAGCTAACTTGTTGAATTAAAGCTTTGCAGCAGACACCAACTCCATTAGAACCTCAGTCTGGTGAAGCCACAGCGTGGTGCCTGACCAGGGAAGTGCCCATGTGTGCCTGGTTCTTTGCCACCTAGTAGATAGGAGCCCTGACCCAGGGGGGTGGGACCTGCATTCCTGCCCCCTTACTTTCTCATGTTGGGGCACCTTGACTGCTGTGCTCTGCTTTAATCTCTCATCGGTGAGAATATTTGTCCAATGTGCCATGGGGCTGTTGAAGATCCGTGATGAAATTTATGAAGTTTAACGAAGTCTGGCTGGTTTATAGCTGAGGAGTGGCGCACCCTGCCAAAGCTGCCTATGTGACTGCCCTCTACCTGCTTTCCTGTGTGGTCCCTGTGGAAGGCAGGGGCACTCCTGTTCATCTGCCATGCAGCCTGCCAGTTTCAAAGGGTGAGAGATGTTAAGTAGCAGTGAATTGTGAGAAATGAAATGCAAGCCAATATCAGGGCAAGGTCATGGGTTTTCCTTAAGTTACTTTTAAGGTTTTCTTTAAATTAATTTTAAGGCAAGTGGGTACTCAGATAATGCAGGAAAACAACAAGTATACAAATAAAGAGAACAAAAGGAGCCAAATAAGAAATACATCAAAGGTTTAATGGGGGCTATTCCTAACTCTTGACAGGGTCAGTTGAGGTCATTGTAAAGCTAGAATTGATGGACACAGGTGTCCCAATTCTCACATTAACATAGGATTGACTCGTAAATAACACTCCCCTCCCTAGGTGGACACCATGACAGTTCTGGAAAGGACCAACTGGAGCCCAAAACTCTACCACCTGACATGAAGGAGTTGAACCCTGATTGTCAAATAGTGCTGAAGGTGGACCCCAGCTCTCAGGGCACCCCTAAAACACCAATCCATTTGGAGACAGCATTGTTCCATTTGTCGTTCTCGGCTGGGAGAAGACCCACTCAGGAGTGCTCTTTGTTTGAGCCTTACTCTACTTTTACTTATAATGAAGCTCTCCTGCATGGCTTTTTGAGTCTGTAATTTCTCTTTTTTTGGAACACAAACACTGAGGTTTGGAGCTTCAACTCCCCACTCTCCTGGAGTCCCTTGTCAACCCTAGCAACCTGCATCTTGGTGTACCATTGCAGTAAGATGAGTTCCTTGTTTGGAGCTAAAGTTTTATGGCAATAAACAAGGCATCCTATGAATCCATGAGTGGTGATAGTAGCAGAAGCTTTATGAATAGGGAAAGGACATTTACATTTGGAATGTGTATTTACTCCTGTGAACCACCATGTTTCTGCTAGTGTTTGTGAGCAGCTCTGCCATCTCCAGGACTCTGTGTCAGCTTGTTATCAGCAGGAGGAACATGCACCAGTGGAGTAGCTAGGTCAATCCAGGTAGGAAGGAGCCCATGTTCTGCCCAGGCATACACTTCCTTTCAGAAATGTGGGGTGATAACGGGATTCCAGAATGTGGGTCCCCAGTTCTAGACCATACTTCCAATGGGAACTTAAAAATCTCTTCACACAGAAATCATTAGGCTCAAATGGTTTCACCAGCAAGTTTTATCAAACGTCTAAGGAGCAAATAATTTCATTCTTACACAAAATTCTCCAGGGTGCTGAAAAAGGACATTCCTTATTTCACATGAACATTAGGCCACTCTAATAAACATGGGTGCAAAATTCTTCACTAAACATTAGCAAATCAAGTGCAGTGTAGTAAATGTGTTTTTTATCACTGGTCCCAGAAATGCTATACATAATTGTATCAAGGGGAAAATACATACACACATACATTTATCTGAGAATGAAAGATTTAATATGTGAAAATCAATGTGATCCTCCATCTCAATAGAGTGAAGGAGGAACATGATATGGTTTTCTCACTAGAGGCAGAAAAGCACTTCATGCTAAGTGACATGCAGGGCATTAGAATAAAGAGCTACTTCCCTTTTCTGTTCCAGAGCAGCTTCAAAAGTGCTAACCACTCTTTGTAAGGCTGGTGGATATTTTAGGGATGCAGGTTGGGCAGTATGAAGGGTTCATTCTTACAAATCCATACTAAATCGATATCACTTTGACATCTGTTTAAATCTGTTCACATAACTTGGAGGGAATCTGGTGATGTAACAAAATGTAGAAAAAAGAAATGCTTTGGAAAGGAGAGGGGGAGCTAGTCCTGGGTAGGCATCGGCATCCACATTTTGAACTGCTACAGCCCATCAGTCCCCCTGACTATCTTCAGCCTTGGCCTTTGGACGGGGCCAGCCCAGCAGCATGGGCAGGTGGGCAGGTCGACAGGGCACTGAGGCCAGGAGAATCTTCTCGAAGAAGAAGAACTTGGTCACAGGTCTCCATGGACAGGAGCAAGGCAGAGAAGAACCAAGACAGTTTCTTCTCCAATGCAAATCCCAGCAGCCACTTCCTCTCAGGCTTCTCAGACCAGATCTTAATTGGAATCCTCTCTTTGCTGAATCCATGGGAACCCACAGACTTCATTTGGGGCAGGCTGCAAGCTGGGCTGAGGCATAAATCTGAGCTCTGGGACACACATTGGTACTATTTCCTGGGCAGGGATGGCAGTGTCCCCTCTGTTACCCAAGGAAGGACTATGGTCCCTGTGGGGCAACAAGTTCCAGACAGGAGTGGGGTCTCTGTAAGCTCTTTACACATCAACTTTGCTCAATTTATCTTAACCCTAAATTAAAGAATATATTTAACTCCTTAAAAAAAGGGAAATTCTCTTCTAAGTACCTGGAGAAGACCAGGGAGGCTGTGGTATTTGGTCCAGTGAGACTGTCGGCTTCAGAATCCTGCCCCGGGTTTCACTGGGGCCATAGGATGGAAGTGAAGATGTCAAAGGCCAGAAGAAACCCTAATATACACTTCCTAAAAACATGGGACCTACTAGGTTCTGAGTACTTTCTCAGACCCAGTCTCATACAACCCTTTCAACAAACCTGGGACATAAGAAGAACTATAACTGACCCAGTTTTATAGATTAAAAGGTAGAGGTAGAGATTTGAGTTGGCTGACCAAGCTGAACCAGCCAATGAGGAGATGGAACCTAGAGATCTGAACTTGGACCAGCCTGACTCCAAGACCTGTGTTCCTCATTGACCTCCTGTGAGGCTCATCTTCAGAGCTTGCTTAGGGCTACCTTCCAGCATGGTGCAAAGTTGCAACCAGAACCTCAGTCACTTCCTCTTATTCCACTGCTCCAACCACAACCAAAAAGTTAATCCCAAGGGGGAAACAGGAAGACACGCAAAGCAGTGTACCCATCTTTCCTATAAAGGAAAATACCTGAAGGCAATTCTGATATAAAGCTTACTTCAAGCTTTTAATTTGGACATTTCTTCTGTACCAAATGGGAGTGGACACATGGACCAGATTTAGCTCTACAGCATCATGTAGCCCAGCAGCTACATTCATATCTCCCTGGGGTGTAAGAGAAAGCCCCCTAAATACACAGAAAACTCCAACGATCTGATAAATGGAAGTGATTTAAAGTAAGCCCCATGCTTACTTTATATAGAATCATTTATTGTTCTTGCTTACACAATGTTTTCTACCCTATAAACAACCTTGACCCTTGTCTCATTTTTGTGTGTCCCATATCATGGATTTTTCATGATCCAGTCAAGGAATATGAAAGTTCCTTGCAAATTCATTACAGGCAGAATGGCTGCTGCCAACTCTGTTTTTATCTCATGTTGCCCTTTGTAACTATTTTCATTATAAACAATAACTGTGTTCTGCCCACCTTAATATCTAAACTGTATTATTTCCATAGAAATGGCTTAGAAGTGGCTTTAAGAAGAAAGTTCAGGTATGAGTTCAGCTAATTCATTCAGTTCTGAAAGCACAACTAATTCAGCTCAGTGATCTGAATTTTTTGGTAACAGAAGCTGCAGAATGCTGTCCCTCTCCTCCCTCTTTTTAACCCACTTTAGTGTCTTGTAGCTTTGCGTAAACATGAGACCTTTCCTTTAGCATAAATGGACACTATATACCTCTTCAATTAGCATAGTGATTGGAAAGAGATGCAGAAGAGCTAAAAACTCCTTAAAAATCTTTCCCACGGGGCTGGGGATGTGGTTCAAGTGGTAACGCGCTCGCTGGCCTGGCATGTGCGGGGCACTGGGTTCGATCCTCGGCACCACATAAAAATAAAATAAAGATGTTGTGTCCACCGAAAACTAAAAAATAAATATTAAAAAATTCTCTCTCTCTCTCTCTCTCTCTCTCTCTCTCTCTCTTTAAAAAAATGCAATCTGATTTTCTCCTTATCCTGCTGATATAATGTTTTTGATGTTGGACCCTAAGATAGCTCCTGCAGCTTCTGGATGGTTTCCTTTGGGTTCATATGCCCACTTTCATTATCTAAAGTTAAATTTAAAGGTTATACATTATAATCTTTGTGGATCCAGAAAGAGCTTATTAGATTCAATTTCAGGTTGAGGGAGTAGATACAGGGCATTGAATTATCATTATTTTTAAAATAAACAGATGGCAAGGGTATTCTTATTTAGGTGAGCAAAATTCAAGACAAACGCTTTTAGAAGTGATCCAGGTATTTTTTTTCCTGTGTAATTTCTCTAAGCTCCTTAGCTCTAAAACTTTTGCATTATATGTTTTCCTGTTGTTAGGCATAGCAAAATATTATTGATGTATTATAGTAGGATTATCCAGCTGTGCCTGTTAATTTTAATTTCTAAATTTTCAAATATTTTTAGGCATTACTTTGGTGTCTGAGAATATTTGAGGATACCTAGGGGAAATCTTTTTTTTTTATAAAGATAATGCAAAAGATTGAGAGAGGCAACAATTG